TAAAACCAGCAGTAATTTCTATATTTGGAGAATTTTGTAGATTATAATCATTAGGCAGTTTTATTTTAAATTGATAATTACTGTATTCTTTGAATAATTTAATCATAAAATCAACATTATTACTAGTCATTTGACCATGATCGTTAACCATTCCAAAAGAGACGAGGACCATTGAAGGATGCTTAAAGATGTTTTTGTTTTATTTGAAGACAAAAAACTAATAATGTGTTAATTCTTATCTTTAATTCTTACCTCATTCTTATTTTTAATATTTAAATATTCTTCACTTTCCTCAACACGAATACCTCCAATATAAACAATTCTATCATCAACCGGATAATTTTTGAAATTAGCAAATGAATGTTGATGAACAAAATGATAGCTAATTTTATTAAATAAATTTGGAAAATATTCTTTCCGGTTTGCCCTGGGCATTTCTAAAGCATTAATCAAAGTTTTGCTAACAACCTTTTGATAAAACTTTTTAGTTGAATTTATTTGTTTATTATGTTCCTTCAAATTTCTCTCGAACCTTTCTGGTTTGAAATGACATCCATCTTGTGTAAATATCCAATCTCCAGGTTTCGCAAAAAATAATTCTTTAAGTGAAAAATGATAAAATTATCAGTTTAAAATTTAATCCCATTTGTTCCCATGCCAGACTTGTTTTGCACACATTATTTTGTACATATAAATGGTTTTTATAGGATATTTTAGAATAAAATATTTATTTGGATTTAGACTTAGTTGACCAGTTTTTTCCAGTTTTTTCCAGTGTTTCTAACAATTTCACCAAAATTATACCTGGAATAACAGTGTGCCCTTCACGAATATGTTGTACAATATTAATTTCAAAAAATTGAAGAATTCCAGGGGGAATAATACTAGGAAAAACATTAAAAGTTTTTTCAATTCCCAAAAGTTCAAAAACAGCAAAAGAGCCAGCCATTTCAGTGAAATCGGCAATTCCAAAAGAATATTTTGGTTGTTGAGCAATCCAATCAAGAATACCTATATTTTCCTCTCCAATTTTGACTTGTTGGTTTTCTAATACATCTTAAATTAAAATTATTTCTATAATTTCTCTCAAAGTTAGGAGTCGAGAACGGACTGGGGCAGAGGTCACAGAACTCAAAATTTTTTTGGTGAGATTATCTGGTGATTTGCTGGATTAAGTGAAATTCAGAGGATTATGAGGGAATTAAAGGGGATATCATGGATTTGGAGGGATATCTGGATATCAGGGGATTTGGAGAGAATATCGGAGAGAATATAATCTTCTTTATTCTCTCAGATCCCTTTAACAATCGTAATCCACTGATATCCCGTAAATCCACTCAAGCAATTCATAGCTACTTTTATCGTACGATATCAAAACTTATATCATCACACAGATCCACTCACAGTACCCTCTTAATCCCCATATATCTTCTTAATTGACGACCAATTTTCGGTTCGGTTTCAGTTAACCTCAAACTTTCGGGTCGGTCTGTCGGTTCAGTTTCGATTAATCGAAGTTTTATAATCGGTTTAGATTAACCGAAGAATTTGGTGAAACCGACAACCTAGTTGTAAGTGATCCCACAAGCTTTGTGTGATCAAAATTGTGATTACAAAGTCAGTTAGTCTACCTAAAAATAAGCAATGTTTCGTTTACAGATACGTGTCTCGTACCCAACGAAATGATTTTCTAGGAATATTCAACATTATATTCATTATGCATAAGTAGATATTATGTAGCTCCAAGCCATTTTAAATGGATCAAGTTTATTTAGAATCCCATACCTTCAAAAAGTGCTACTTCATATTCCATTGAACATTTAAAATCTTCGCAAGCTTCTAATAATCCATCTGTAGCAATTCTTTCCTGATCCAAATGGTTTACGTCTATATACATTTCGATAATTTGCAACTCAGTTGGCAGTGGTTTGAGCTCTATAGGGATGCCGTTTTGTTTACTATAAACAAGCATATCCTATAGAAAATAATTTTATTTATTCCGATTTTTTCTAATATTTTTAGTGCTACTGATTGAGACTATTTAATATCAGAGTGCGGCAAATTAAGGGCACTTTTTCTTTTTGTCACAACTTTCATAAAAATAGATGACAATCGGAAATACTTTTTTTGTTTTATCCTCAATACTTTAGTAAATTTTCAACAAGAAGTAAGTTCTACTAAAAATAAATAGTTGCGCGTATTTTGCGCACCCTGTATTATGATAAAAAGATGATTGTAACATGAAGACAGTAATTAAATGAGAGATCATTTAAGCCTTTTCTTATGGTAGAGTGAATTTTATCCTTTTATCAATCACTTACCACAATGTAATTTTCAGATAAAGCCGTAGCAAGCATTAACTGCAATTTTTATTATTATTAAAATCAAACTCTAGAAAAATATTATTTAATTTAAATGCCATAAAGCTCAATAATAATATCGAGATTTGTTTGAAAATAAATTTTAAAATATTTACATGTAATTGAACGTGAGAGTAGAAAAAGTTATCGAAAATATACAAGGCCCTTTTCTTCGAAGTTCCTGTTTCAGGAGCCTTTCCTTCACGTTGTTTAAAAGGTTGATTAGAGCTTCTTTTACTTCCACCTCCAAAACACCCGAAAGTATTACCCCTTTTGCATCGACGGTGGGATAATAAATTCTTTTTTTCTTTAGGTCTTCCACCAGAAATGTTGATGAAAATTATCAAAAAGAAAATGTAAAAAATTAATTTTAAATAATACATTTTCTAAATTAAAAAAAGGTTTATTTAAAAGGTTGGTTTTTAAAAATTTTTCCAATCAAACACGTTTCCTCATCTCCATTTATAAATATTTCATTAATTTTCGATTGTGCTAAAGTTTAGGAATATTTATCATGGAAAATACAAAGACCGAAAATTCCGTTTCCATTTCGTCCATTAATTTTTTTGCAAATTTGTTAGATAAATCTCATAAACCCCCCATTTCCCCATCATCAGCTAACACGTCCGATACTTAACAAACTTCAAAACCCATTAAAACTCAATTATATAGTTATTAAAAATTTATTAAAAACTATTTTTTATTAATTAATCTAAAATTATCAAAGCCCTAAAAAATTTTTTTAAAGTAAACTGGCAATATCAATATGGCAATAGCAATAATTATTAAAGTACATCCATCAAAGTAAAGAGAGGTATTGCCAAGCAATCTATATTTCTTTATATTTGCCACGTCGATAATTTCAAAATAAAATTTATTTTACATTCTCTAGAGCTTCTTAACCTCTTGGCGATTTGGAAAGGGGCCCAAACCTAGCATTAGAATTACATTTTCATGTCAGAAACAATTTAAATTTTAAAGTTCTGGATGAAAAGAAAAATATTTGGGACAAATTTACAAACTTAAATCCAAAAGGCTGAAATTTCGAAACAGGGCCCCTTTCCAAATCGCCAAAAGGGAAAGAAGCTATAGAGAGAGAGAGAAATAAATTTTATTTTGAAATTTTTGACGTGGTAAATATAGAGAAATATAGATTGATATATTGCTTGGCAATACCTCTCTTTACTTCGATGGATGTACTTTAATAAATATTGCTATTGCCATATTGCTATTGCCAGTTTACTTTAAAAAAATTTTTTAGGGCTTTAATAATTTTAAAATAATTAATAAAAAATAGTTTTTTATAAATTTTTAATTAGGTTTTAATGGGTTTTGAAGTTATTTAAGTATCGGGCGTTTTAGCTGATGATGAGGAAATGGGGGGTTTATGAGATTTATCTAACAAATTTTCAAAAAAAATTAATAAAGCAAATGGAAACGGAATTTTCGGTCCAATATGAATATTTTAATAATTATTGCTTTTTATCTAAAGGACCCTGTATTTTCCATAATAAATACACTGCGGTGCATAAGTTTTATACACTTGAAAATTTTGTTTAAATTCTTAATTTTTTATTCAAAAAATACGTTCTATATAGCAATCGAAAGCTCTATTTGTATCTCAGTCGACATGTATCTGTATTTTTCATGAAATTGAAAATTGGCCGAGATAATCCGGATCTACCGGATATACCAAATCTCATATCCTAGGAAAAAATTTTCGGGAAAAATTTAATAAACCCATTTGATAAAGCATATTTTTCTGAGTATTTTCCACAAAACCGCTTAGAAATATCTTTTTCCGGACCAGAGATATGATTTTTTGAAAATGACATTTTTCCCTTATTTTTGCAAAAAATTTAATTTTTAAGGGAAAAATGTCATTTTCAAAAAATCATATCTCTGGTTGCTATATAGAACGTATTTTTTGAATAAAAAATTAAGAATTTAAACAAAATTTTCAAGTGTATATAAACTTATGCACCGCAGTGTATTCCTAAACTTTAGCACAATCGAAAATTAATGAAATATTTATAAATGGAGATGAGGAAACAGACTTGCACATGGATAAGGATTTTGCTATCCGTATCCGGATATATCCGTAGGGTCAATATCCGTATCCGTTTGTATCCGTCCGACTTTTGAGTCATATCCATCCGCGGATATATCCGTTTTTTCTCAAAATGGTCAGCCTTACTACAATTTTCAAAATGGTCAAATTTATTTAAATTTTAGTAATGGATAGATAATTAGGAAATAACTGCATGCAGCAAAATGAACCTTGCTTATGAACATCGGAGGTTCGAAAATTGGAAGTCAGAGTCATAATGACAAAAAAAATAAAATTTTGAAAATTTTTGAGAATTTTCGAAAATTTAAATTCCCGGTTTCGAACTGAAATAAAAATTTCTGTTATCTGACCAGTTGATTTCAGCGCCGCAGGCGAAAATTTTGAGAATTTTGGAAGGCCTTAGGCCAAAAAATTCACCTTTTTGCCCAATCCCCTCATCAAATTTATCCCTATTCCCCATCTCGGGAGGAGGGGGGAGGAGGAGAACCCCCCTGGTTATGGGCCTGATATAGTTTTGACCTCCAAAATTGTTAAAATTTTTGACATGAAGAAAGAGTTTGCAAAAGTTTAGCCACGGGCAGGACCTGCAACCACCTGCTAGTTGTTGCTAGGCGCTTTCGCTCACTAAATGCAGGAGCTCTACCTCTGAGCTACCGGGGCACCGACTAATGCTTTCTCTTTTTCCTTTTTAGATCGTTTAACCCCCGCCTAAGCGTTTTAAATGCTGCTGGATGAATCATCCTTACAATGAGTACGGCTCCCCGAGCCTTTGGGTTTGGGATCGTCGAGGATCAGGGTTTGCCGGAGAGGGCATCTTGTGGTTCGGGGTCGAGATTGACCTTTGGGTCGGGGTTCAGGGTCAGGTGCGAGACTCAATTATCTCCTGGCGTTAGGAATATAACTATTTTCTCGTGACAAAATGTATTTTAAAAATTTAATTAGTGATGTTTAATCGCAGAAATTAGGGATGGATATCCGCGGATTTGGAGCATCATCCGTATCCATCCGTATCCGTCCGATTTTTAAAAAAACACTATCCATATCCGTCCGTATCCGCGGATACCCGCGGATATCCGGATATTATCCGTATCCATGTGCATGCCTGTGAGGAAACGTGTTTGATTGGAAAAATTTTTAAAAACCAACCTTTTAAATAAACCTTTTTTTAATTTAGAAAATGTATTATTTAAAATTAATTTTTTACATTTTCTTTTTGTTAATTTTCATCAACATTTCTGGTGGAAGACCTAAAGAAAAAAAGAATTTATTATCCCACCGTCGATGCAAAAGGGGTAATACTTTCGGGTGTTTTGGAGGTGGAAGTAAAAGAAGCTCTAATCAACCTTTTAAACAACGTGAAGGAAAGGCTCCTGAAACAGGAACTTCGAAGAAAAGGGCCTTGTATATTTTCGATAACTTTTTCTACTCTCACGTTCAATTACATGTAAATATTTTAAAATTTATTTTCAAACAAATCTCGATTTAATGGAGGATTTATTGTAACCTCAGCTCACGGTGTATTTCTTCAAAATAAATACCGAATTAACTTGCTGTAGCTTTTGATTATTGCTTATGGACCTACTTCTTAGTGACCGAGTGACAATCTCAGGATTAAGTCTTGCTATTTTCTGCTATGAGGATAGCCGTCATACTATAATTTAAACTTTAAAACTTGGTCTTCGTGCTCTCCTCTAGTACCGCTAATAACTAATAGAATTAACAACTAGATACTACTATGGGCCTGAATCTGATTTTGTGATAATCAGAAATCAACCATTGTGACCGTACTAATAATAAAAATTTTAGCTAATGCTCGCGAAGGCATTATCAGAACATTATATTGTGGTGAGTTATTTATATAAAAGGATTTTGGACGGGATTATCAACTCTTTTTTTACTAAGTTGATATCACTTAGGGTTCTATTAGTTAATCCTAGATAATATTATCTTCTACAGGACATGATTGTATATGGTAAAGAAATAGGCTCTCATATAGAGCTCGAACCAATGCCGAACGATTTGAAAATTATTGAAATGGATATCAACGAAAAACATTTGGATAAAGAAAAAATTAATAACGATGAACTAACTGAAGCTTATTATAAGTTTAAAGGTTCAAAGCAATATGATGTAGGAATTTTTGAAGGTATAAGGTTCTAAATAAACATTTTGCAGGCTAAAAAGTAAATGAGTTTAGGAAATCAGTTCCTGAAAGATTATATAATTTTAATTCTGGGTCCGAATATCCTATTTATCATCTACTTATTGGGTTGTATCAAATATGAATTAATTGTTAAAAACTTCTAAAAATTGGATTTTCTAACATTAATTTTGATAAAAATAATATTAATTTTAAGATTTAATAAATAACTCTCAAGTTAAAATTGGAGAGGAATATATAGGCATTCTCGATTGGATTGCTCAACAACCAAAATATTCTTTTGGAATTGCCGAGTTTATTCAAATGGCGGGATCTTTTGCTGTTTTTGAATATTTGGGAATTGAAAATACTTTTAATGTTTTTGCACATATTATTCTTCCTGCAAATTTTCAATTTTTTGGAATTAATATTGTACAGGAAATTCGTGAAGGGCATACTGTTATTCCGGGTAAATTTTTGGTGAATTGTGGGTAAAAGTTAACTGAATAAAAACTGAAAAAACTTGCCAACCTAGTTTAAACCTCTGTAAATATTTTATTTTTAATAAAAATATATTAGAAACAATATGTGTATGTTACAAATTAAAAGATCAAAAATATAGGGATAATCCTCAGAGAAAACATCAAAATCTTTTTAAAATTACTAAAAAATTAATTAATTAAAACTAGTGAAAATATAAAATATGCAAATGGAGCATTTTATTTGAAATTTTAATTATTTTTTAAATGTTTAAAATAATAACCTTTTCTGAATGGTCATATCTAGAGCGCGGAATTTCGTACCGTACCGTATTCCGTACCGTATTTCCGGCCATATTCTTTTCCGTATTCCGTACCGTATTTCAGAATTTTACCGTTCCGTAAAACGGTACGGAATACCGAAAAATACCGATACCGAAAAATACCGATAAAAATTTATCGGTATTCCGTACCGTATTTGAAAATTTTCTGTAATTTGTTTAACAATAATTATATTTATATATAAATCTTTAGAGACAAAGAATATATCTTGGATTTAAATTATTAAGATAGATTTGGAGGGATATCTGAAGATTTAGATGGATATCGGTGGTTTAGTTGGGATTAAGTGATGATAGACAGGGATTGAAGAAAATATTCTTTTGATTTCTAGTGATTAAGGAGGATTCGGGATAGGATGAATATTGAGAATATAAGTGGATTTATCGGGACTAAGGGGACTCAAATATTCTTAATACCAAATTACCTCAAATCCTCTATCCCCAATCCAGATCAGGGCTGGACGCAATTGCGGACTGCGGCTGCGGAAATTTTTTTCAGTTGCGTCCAGCCCTGATCCAGAAATCTCTTAATCCCTAGACTTGAACATAGGCCCTATTAAATCCACTTAATCCCCACAAATCCACTTAATCATTACAAATCCTTAGATACCTCTGTTAATCCCCTAAATCCATTCTTAATTACTACTATTTCCTCTATATCCTTCATTTAAGACAATATTTTCAGCGCCGTAGGCGAAAATTATAAAAATTTTGAAGTCCAAGAAGGTTAATTTCTTCTATTTTTAGCGCCGCAGGCGAAAATTTTGAAAATTATCAAAGGATAAGAAGAATATTTTCCCTTAAAATAAAATAATTATTTAAAATTTTTATCGGTCGGTATTATCGGTATTTTAGTTTTTGCCGTACCGTAGAACGGTACGGAATACCGAAAAATACCGATACCGAAAAATACCGATCAACTTTAAAATTTTACCGTACCGTATTCCGTACCGTATTACCGATACGGAATACCGATAAATACCGAAAAATACGGCCGTAGTACGGTACGGTCCGAGCTCTAGTCATATCTCTTTTTGGTGCTTTGTAAAAGCCCACCATGGTATTATAATTTTACTCAATATTTTTAATTTAAAGAAAAAAACTTTGCGAAACCTGGAGATTGGATATTTACACAAATTGGATGTCATTTCAAACCAGAAAGATTCGAGAGAAATTTGAAGGAACATAAAAATGAAATAAATTCAATAAAAAAGTTTTACCAAAAGGCTATTAGCAAAACTTTGATTAATGCTTTAGAAATTCCCAGGGCAAACCAGAAAGAATATTTTCCAAATTTATTCGGAAAAATTAGCTATCATTTTGTTCATCAACATTTATATGCTAATTTCAAAAATTTCCCAGTTCATGAAAAAATTGTTTATCTTGGAGGTATTATTGTTGAGGAAAATGAAGAAAATTTCGACTTGACATTAGAGAAAGATGTAAGAATGTAAATTAATTCTAACAAAAATTAAAAAGTTAAAGCTATTTATGTAATTTAATTGCGGGCGGCGTAATAGGAGTATTGTAATACCAATATTCTGCAATCATGGAATGGCTCAGGAAAACGTCGGCTCCGATTTGGAGCTAGGACATTTTGAAGAAGGATTTTTTATAGAGTTTTTTTTTGTTGATGATCGATTGGATAACAACCATAATGAGAAAGCTCTCAGGATCGAGTCACATTCCATCTGGCACCCGCCTCTGATCCCGACAGATTGTCCTCCTATTCGGTTTTCAGAAAACGAAGGCTTACTAAAAGCTTTCCAAAAAGAAGCTTTCTTAGCTTTCTAAAATTTATATCAAAAGATTTTGCCAGAAATAAATCTTTTTTATTTTAAAATAAAATCCAACTTTAAGGATCCTTCTCTGGTCCTTGTCTCTTTTGGAACGGTAAACCTGTATGCTGGAATGACCTTTGACAATGTTAATTTAATGATAGATGTATTTACTCAATACAGTAATTATCAATTTAAAGTAAAATTGCCTTCTGGTTATACTCCAACAGATTCTCCAAATATTGAAATTAGTGATGAGTTTATTGAGCAACGACAAATATTATGTAAATTATATTTTTAAATTAATGATTTAAATATCATCCATTAGATATCCCATTCATTTTTTTATTTTGAACGATTTTTATCGTAAACTGACTGTAGTAAAGATAAAAAACGGAATCTAATCCTAGTCATTCGAAATCTGTTCGAAAAGCGTTATCTTTTCCCTGCAGGATGGATTAAGTCTGATTAGCCATTAAAAAGTTTATCGTGATCAATTTTAAGAACATGAAGAGGCAATAAAACTCCAGAAGCACAATTTTATTTTTTTGTCATAAATTCTTTTAAAATCAGAGTAAAACCGAACCTAGTCCACAGGGACACGCCCAAAACAACGCGCGGCCATAACAACGCAAAGCCATTACTTGCTTCAATACTTCCGAATCTTTACAAATTTAGTATTATCTTGAAAAATTTTGTATATTTCAGTGCATGTTCTAGGATTTTCCGTGTGTATTTTGACACGCCCTATATATAAATATTAAGAAATATCTATTAACCCATAAAAATAATTGGAAAAAGCAAATTAAAAATACAATTTTTCAACTTTTCAGTTGATCCAAATACAAAATTTTTCATATCGCATTGTGGACAGAACAGTTTGACTGAGGTAAACACAATTTAAGGATTCATAGTTATAAAA